AGGCCTTAACACAGGATTGCGTTCTTCCATTCCATTAGGCAAAGCCTGCCACATTGTGCCCAGCTAAAGTGGGAGGCGAAGGGCCTGGATGTCTAATTGTAATATTGGAATGCAGACAGTGAACAAATGAGACCAAACATCCAACATCCCAAAAAGACGTGTGGAAGACAGAAAGCAAAGGAATCTACGCCCGTATCAAACGTCGAGGGGACAGAGAATGAAGGGCTGGCGTAATCTTTGAGATAGGTGAGCACAAAAGATGGCATTTACAGAATCCTGAGGAAAGTAAAGAAGCACTAGTAGTGCATTTCTGGGCTGAGAACATTCTTGGAGGAGACGGCAGTGAGTGGAAAAGACCCAACTTGCTTCAAGGGGCTGAGGAATCACGAGATGAGCAAAAATCAGTATGTGTTTCTAACCTGTCACTGTCACAGACATTGCTATACAACCACCCTTATATGTGCTTCTGTTTGCATATGAAAAACACTTCAGGATTAATTGCTAGGGTACACTAATTAAGTCATGGGGGTACACATATCTTCCAGTTTCCTAAATATTAGCAAATTCCTTTCCAAAGAGCTTTTACACTCCCACCTGCACAGAATAAAGCTCCTGCTTATGACAGCATATGGTTTGTGCAATAATGATTTTATATGCATACACTTTCTTATATTAACCATCATTCCACAATGTGTACAATAATTCTATTATAACATTTTATTCTTATTACTTTATTTTTGTGTCGTACTGGGGATTAAACGTAGAGCCTGACTCTTGCTAGGTAAGCATTCTACCACTTGAGCTACCTCCCCAACCCTTACTTATTAATTTCTTTTTCAGTACTGGGGTTTGAACTCAGGGCCTTCACCCTGAGACACTCTGCCAGCCCTTTTGGTGATGGGATTTTTTCGAGACCGGGTCTTGTGAACTATTTGCCCAGGGTGGCTTTGAACCATGACCCTCCTGATCTCTGCTTCCTGAGTAGCTAGGATTACAGGCGTGAGTCACCAATGCCTGGCCCCAACCCTTATTTTTTATTTCTCTTATTATTCATAAAGTTGAACATTTTCTTATATTATTGTTGGCTACTTGGGTTTCCTTTTTTTTTTTTTTTCCCCAGTGCTGGGAATTGAGCCCAGGGCCTTTTGCCTGCTAGGAAGCCCACTACCACTTAGCTGCACCGTGAGCCTCCTGCTGGGTCTTCTCTTATAACTGAGAATACAATGTCTTTGCCATTTTCCTATTGAGCTATTTAGCCCTCTCTCTCCTTTTTCTTAACATAGAACTTATTTACATTTCTGGTTACTGACCCTTTCTGTGTTCTAGATGAGGTAAATGCATTTTTATAAGGCAACCTCATGTCTTTGACTGTTGTATATTGTATTTTGTAGCATAGAAGTTTTAACTGTAAAACTGTCAAATTTATCAAGATTTTTTGATGTGATTTGTAATTTTTTTAGTATTAACAATTCCCAAACTGAACATAGTAGTGCACAACTGTAATCCTAGCTACTCAGAAGGCAGAGATCAGGAGGATCACAGTTCAAAGCCAGCCCAGGCAGATAGTTTGTGAGACCCTATTTCGAAAAAACCCATCACCAAAAAAGGGGCTGGTGGAGTGGCTCAAGGTGAAGGCCCTCAGTTCAAACCTCAGTACTGTATATATTATATATATAAAATCACAAATCAGGGATCATGTTTTTTTTTTTCCTATTTAACCAGTTTTATCAGCCCCATTATTTAAATAGTGCATAATATTCCTCATTTTATTTTATTTAGTATTACTCTGTAATATATCAAATTGCCACATAAGCATGCGTCTTTTTGTAGGCTTGGAATTCTGTTCTGTTTTGTTCATTTAAACGGGTGCCAATAACCCACTGTCTTAATCACAATGGTTTGCTAAGTCACCTCCAGATACGGTAATGTGTCTGAGGTTTGAACTCAGGGCCTTGCCCTTGGTAGGCAGATGCTCTCCCATGCCTCCAGCCCTTTTCGCTTCAGGTTATTTTTGCCCAGGCTAGCCACGAACCGCAGTCCTTCTACCTATGTCTCCCAAGTAGCTAGGATTACACCCCACTTTTGATTTTTCCGTTACACTGCCAAGGACTATCACAATTGCAGTCAGTGCTTCATCAGCAGGGTTGTTCTCGTGTGGTTCCACCTTGTTAAGTCCACAGTTCCAAATAAACTATGGCCCCATCGGTGCTTGACAGCTGCTCCTTCACTCGGCTTCTTCCAGAGCTCCTCTTTGAGGAAGAGCTGCGGACCCAGGAGCACCCTTCCTGTTTGCCGCTGCCTCCTTGTGGATTTACAGCTGGTTTTGTTCTCCTTTTCTTCTGCTGTGAAAATATTCATCTTGTTTTGACTAGTCTCTCTCTCTCTCTCTCTCTCTCTCTCTCTCTGTCTCTCTCTCTCTGTCTGTCTCCCTCTCCCTCCATCTGTTATGAAATGTATTTGAAGCAGAGGGAGATTATCAACAAATAATTTATTGAGCAACCTGACTGGAAATCCAGTTAAGCATTTTTCCAGGAATTCTCTAGAAACAAAGAAAAAGAGAAGGAAACACAGTATTCCGCTTCTGAAGAAGTGATGAAAAATTGTCTGTGCTTACAGATCACTCTCTGCTGGCAAAGTGGAAAGGTCTGTTGTAATTGCTGCCTCGCCTTCCCTCATCGCCAGCAGTCCTTATTGTTACTTTCTTCCTCTCTCCACCCCACTTCTCCTCACCTCACTTCTGTCCCCAAGGACTGTCCTTCTCCTCACCCCATTTACAACTCCTGCTCCCTGAGGAGTCCTCAGCACTCAGCATCCTGTCCAGGCAGTCAGGTAATTAAATTATTAAATTATTAAGTTGTAAATCAGGGCTATGAATCCAACCAGTACTTAGTCACTTTGCAGGGTAGTGTTTGTGTGGGAGTGGTGACAGGAGGAGGAGGAGTCAGCCTTGACTGTAAGTCTCTGTTTACCACCAGATACAGGCCGAAGAACAGGAAGAAGAACCTCGGAAGTGAGGTCACTTGACATAGAGAGACACCAGTAATTCAGCCACAACAAAAGTCCCTTCCAGGAAGAGAGAGGGGTGAGGCAGGGTGAAAGCAAGATGTGTACATATGAGTTTACGTTTCAGTGAGTGGGTACACACGTGCATATGCTGCAAGCACCTAACCCCAGGAATGAAAGCAGAAGTAGTAACTTAGGGGACTTCCAGTTGCCATCTGGAAATGTTTGGGGATTACTGATCCGGGATCAGGAGCATAACAACTATGTAATTGCACCATGTCTGTTATTTTTGTTTTCTACAAAGATTACCATCAATCTCTAAATTAAACCAAGAAAACCCAAGGGCTAATGCTGAGAGCAGCAGCAAGAGGTGAAACTGGGTTGCATCCATCCCACTGCCAGGCCTGAGGAGGAAAGAAAGAGGAACCTCCACCAGCAAAGCTGTAGTGACAACTACTAAAGGTGTAAAAGGCAAAAATGAGCATGAAATGTGGCTCTGAAAGGGACCTACAGCTATCTAAAGACCTGTGGGAGAGCCTAGGGAATTGCTCAGTGGTAGAGCGCAGGCTTAGCACACACAAAGCCCTGGGTTCACACACACGCACACACACGACCTGGGTGATAGCCTGAAAATACCAGTAGGTCCTCCCTTACTTAGTCTTACAGGACATATAAAACATGGAAAATGTCTCAGCTGGCCCTTTATAAGCATACATAGTTAAACTGAAGGAAGACCATTAGCTCCATTTGGCACAGTTAAACATAAGTGATGCTTAACGAATCAAAACGCCTGTCAAGAATCTCATGGGGTCCGTGGCTGTCTTCACAGGAAATGCACAGGAGTTCTGTATAGAATTTCAGGGATGCCTGGTTACCATTTCTCCTGTCCGGGGAGAAGCAGTGTTTTACCCGGGTGACTAGAGCGACTATGAGGAAGTGAGGCCCGGTTCTCCAGAATCTGTCTAGCATCTCTCATTTCCTTCGGTGGTTGATTTACCTCCACTGGTGTTTGTTTCGTTTCTGGTATACTCCTATTCAATAGTATTATCCAGATGCCTTCATCCTAATTATACCAAAGCCCTGGGTAGTAAAGAAAATCCTAAGCCTGGTATTGGTGGTTCACACCTCCTGAGATCAGGAGGATCATGGTTCAAGGTCAGCCTGGGCAAATAGTTGGGAAAACTGCCATCTCAATGGAAAAACACTAGGTGTTGTAGTGGGGCCCCTGTCATCCCACTGACAGAGGAAATGTAAAAAAATAGGAAGATCATGGTGTAGGCCAGCCTGGGCAAAGTGCCAAACCCTATCCTAAATAACCAGAAAAAAAGGGCTAGGCCATGGCTCAGATGGTAGAGGGCCTGCCTAGCAAACATGAAGCCCTGAGTTCGAACTCCAGCACAAAGAAAGAAAGGAAGGAGGGAGAAAGGGAGGAAGGAAGGAAGGGAGGGAGGGAGGAAGAAAGAAAGGAGAGAGGGAGGGAGGAGGAAGAAAGAAAGGAGGAAAGAGCGAGGGAGAAAGGAAGGAAGGAAAGAAGGAAGGAAGGAAGGAAGGAAGGGAAGGAAGGAAGGGAAAGAAAATTCAAACAGAATGAACTGACTTTCTTCGCCATAGGTCATTCTGGTTCATCACATTCCCTAATGTACAAAGAGCCCTCTGGTCCACACACTGCATCTATTGCTATCTTCTTTCATTCGTGACCCAAGTGTTGATTTTTTTCCTTTTAGAACTTTTTTATTAAGTGAATTTCCATTACTTTCTTTATGACTCTCATACATACTTTGGATCCAATGCACACAAAAAAATGTTTCATTAGCTTTAATGAAACATTAGCTCTTCAGTAAGATGGATGTGATATTAGGAAGGGTTCTGGAATTTTCACCATCATTCCCGACTTCTTCCCCATTTTAAAGTCAAGCAGCAGTTAGGTCTTCCTATCGGTGCCATAATTTTGCAGTTGGTAGTTTTTTCCTTTCACTCAGAGATTCCTTTTTGGACTTTTACACTTCATCTGTAGTTGGTAATACTGTTGTCACTGGGCCAAACCCCAGTCTTGTCCTTTCTGTTGGAATCACAGTGACATTTTGATCAGAGGGAAGATATCTGGAACTTACATAGTTGAGGAAAGAGATGACCCCTAGAGGAAGAGAAAATTTTGAAGTGCAGCTCAATATTCAGATGGTCGTTTGATTTTTAAGATTCATACTCATTCTTTGATACCCAGCTCAAAAGGCCTCATCGGTGAGCCCTTCCCCCCACTCCCAGCAATTACTTTAGTCTTCCATATTCCTGTTACATCAAGACATTTCAGTCTGCTTAGAACAAAACTTGAATCCCCTGCATTTAAATAATGATTCTAGTGCTTTCTGTGTGGTCTTGGGCCAGTTGCGTAATCTGTCCATACCCCAACTTTGTGAGAAAAAGGTTTATTAATTGTAGGTTTTCAGACTTCTAAACCCATACCACCCTTCCTCTCCATGTGCAAATGTTCTGAGTAGAAGCAGCTGGGGCTTCCGTTTGTCCTGGATTCCACCTCCCTCTCCAAATGTGACTTCCGTTTCCATCCTTCCAGCATAGGGCAGGGGCTGACTCACCAGCACACATGTATAAGATGTCACTGCACCAGTTAAGATAATAGGTCCATAGGAAATCTGACTGCATGACGTCTCGTGCATGCCAGTGAACCTGTGCCAGAAACAGGTTGAGACAGAAGAGCAAGGAGATGGCTGGGACCAGAAGGAAAGATGTCACAACCCATCAGCATCGTTGATCTGCCTTGACTGCCACCCCCACCTCCTCTCCTTCCTCCAGAGACTATATGTATGGCAAAGCTCAAAAGATAAAAACTTGGGATTGACCAGATGGGACAAAGAAAGGCACCTCTACCTTGGTATAAGGTCAGCTAACGTGTGCTCTCTGCAATTAGACAGAGCAGATAGTGGGCCACTTGGTGTGAAACTGAAGAGGGGGAGAAAAGGATAAGAAAAAGAATGACAGTCCCACAGAGAAATGTGGTTACACTGGCTATTCTACCAGGGTATTACCTTCCCAGTCTAGGTCTGTACCTGACATGAAGCTCAACATGGACTCCTTCAGATCCAAGTTGATGGTCTTGGATTCAAGTTGCTGCTCTCTTCTAGAGAGGCAAGAGCCAAAGAGCCAGCCAAGACCAAGGAGTATGGTGAGGACAGAGATGAGGAAGAAGGCTCTGGAATACTGCAGATAATCTGCAAGAAGAGGAGGAAAGGATAGACTTGGTTAATGCAAAAGAGACCGCCCTTAAGAAAGCCAGGGAGAGGCAGAGAAGGGAGCAAGGACCCAGTAAAGCTTCCTAGGTGGCCTCAGGAGCACCAAGAAGGATCCTCTTTCCTAAGTCTTCATTGTCACTTGGAATTTCTTTTAAGCTATGGATAATATATATAAATGCTTCTAGGTGCATTAACTAGCTCAGAGAAGGTGTGACTAACACTGGAAAACAGATTAAAACTTTTTTTGTGCTAGGCACCAGTGGTTCATGCCTATAATCCTAGCTACTCAGGATGCAGAGATCAGGAGGGTTGCAGTTTGAGACCAGCCTGGCAAAAAGTTCAAAAACCCATCTTAAAAATATTCTTCACCAAAAAGGACTGGCGGAGTGGCTCAAGTAATAAAGAATCTACCTAGCAAGTGTACAGCCCTGAGTTCAAACTTTAGTCCCACAAATAAAACCTCTTTCTTATTTCTAATTCTAAAAGTAATATATATTCAACATCAATATTAGAAGACAACAGACTACAAAGAACAAGAAGAAAATAAACCTCAACCCTACTACTTAGACACACTTATTTTTAGAGTTTGATTTTCTTCCTCCCTCCTCCTTCCTTTCTTCCTTCCTCCTTCCTTCCTTCCTTCTTCCCTCCTTCTTCCTTTCTTCCTCCCTCTCTCCCTTCCTTCCTTTCTTCTTTTTCCTTTCCTTCTTTCCTTCCTTCCTTCCTTTCTTCCTTCTTTCCTTCCTCCCTCCCTCTTCCTCCTCCTCCTCCTCCTCTTCTTCTTCAAGATTGCACTAACCCTCAAATTCTTTTTCAGGCGTGCACCACCACACCTGGCTTATTTTATTTCTTTCTATCATTTATCTACCCTCTCTATATAGTAGATATGATTCTAGATATCGTGGACTTTTCCTTAAGATTTTTCCCAGGTACCTGTTATAAACATTTGTTTTTGTTTTTGTTTTTGAGGATCTTGCTCTGTAGCCTCAGGCAGGCCTCCTACTCAAGATCCTCCTGCCTCAGCCTCCATAGTGCTGGGCTTATAGGCACAGAGGGGCTACAAAATATTCTCTCATATTCATTCCTTTGCTTGATGATTAACCCATTATTGGACTTGGAACTTGTTTCTATTTGTTTTGAACCTTCACAATATATCTGGCACATGCAGGCTTTGTCAGCCTATGACTACAAAACGAAGTTGCATTTACTTTAACTCCTCTATTGTACTGCTTTCCAGCCAAATTTACCAGATTGTAGGACCTCTACGCACCAAATATGTTCCCCTTCTTTTCTGAGAGCCCTCCCCGCCAAGTTTGATCTCATATTTATTCAAGAAGTAGTCTGCTAGAGTTCTTTCACCCAAAGCTCTCTTCCTTGGCTTTGTCTGCTCTACCACAGTGGGTATTGCTAAGAGAGCACGCTAAAGCCACCACATCCCCATATGGGCTGGGTCCTTCCTTTGCTTCCCCATCAGTATTTTACTGGCAATTTCAGAAATAGGTGGCAATTTACAATTGCGAGCTGAAGCTTTTCTGAGATAGCACAGACCCAGAAATATCTCACATATCCTTATAAAGTACCTTCCTGTCCAGCTTCTTTCAGATCTGTGTAGTAGGAGCTAACACATCCCCATCACAGAGTTCTCTAAGTTGTTCTCGTTCACTTATTTGTTTGTTTTATGGTACTGGGAATTGAACTCAGGGCTTCACTCTAACACTTGAGCTATGCCCCCAGCTCTTTGGTTTTCGATAGCTAACTTTGCCTGGGCTAGCCTAGAACTCGTGATCTTTCTACCTCTGCCTTCTGACTAGCTGAGGTTGCTGGTGTGTACCACCATGCCCAGCTGACTCTGGAAGGGAGGGGGTTTGAGGCAGGGTCTCACTATGTATCCCAGGCTGCCTCAAACTTTTGATCATCCTTCCTGTACCCCCTAGATGCTGGATTACAGGAGTTTACCACCACATCCAGTTTCTCTGTAATGCCTAAGACTCAAGTCCAGCTTCCAAGTAATCCAGAAAAACAAAACTGTGTATTAACATTATTTCAGCATAGGACCTGCATCACAAATGTCATTTTGTTCTCCAGAACCTGCTACTTATGATGAGTGACAGTCATCTCCATTGAGACAAACAGAGGCGAGTTACTTGGAGGCCGTGACAAGTTAGCCACTAACAAGCTCATTCAAGAACAGCACATTTTGTAAAGACTGGGTCACTTGGAAGTAGCAGTATATGGAGTCAGTGAGAACCATCAGCCTAGATTGAGTGGTCTGAAGCCCAGAACCATGGGCATCCCCTAGTTTCCCTTGTCTGTGGCCAAGAAAGGGAACCTGGCCCTAGATGGACCAATGTGATTATTATGCTTGGACAGGTGAATTCCCTCCTTTGCTTGCTTGAACTAAGAAGATACAGAGTGAAATTGGGACATTCTTTCTGGGCACTTACACACTAATAAACAGGAAACACTCAGTTGTCAAGATAAAACTAAATATAAACAAAGCTCAGTGGAAAAGCAATCCTAAAGAGATGGAGGGACTGGCTGACCTGCTTTTCTTTGTCTGAGATCTCAGTCTGTACTCCTTCAGGCCTAGCATACTTCCTGTCTTCGGGGGTCTAGGAGGATTTTTCTGAATCTTTGAAGAAGTTCACTCGTTAGCTTACGCTAGTTCAAATGATTCTGATACTCACTTTTTGAAAATGTTCTCTTTTGCAGTGCTGGAAATTGAACCCAGGCCTTGTCAATGCTAGACAAGTGCTCTATCCCCGAGTCACACCCCACCGAGTCTAATATTCAAAGCATTACCTAAGTGATTTCTTGTCAAATCCTGTCTAAGGTACAAAATTCAGTCTTTCTTCTACCATGCGGGGAGACTGTACCTCATACCCATCTCACGATCTTCTCTGACTTCACTCCTCGTCTCCTGGAAAACTATGTCAATAAGATCTTCTCAACTTCCCAGGAACAACTAAAGTTTGGCCGTATGGCAGAGTTTAACCTCAAAGTAACCAAGTCTACCAGCAATGATCACACATAACGAAATACACAGCCAAACAAAACGCTTGGCTTCAGAGACTAAAACATCTGCATTTGATTTAACTTCCAGAAATTCATTTAGGTAAAAAACAGAAGTCTCTACAGCTGAACTCAAGGCTCCAATTCAGATAAGACCAAAACTGAATTCAGCCTTTTCAGGGCATTTTTTTACAGCAGCTTACCATCCAACTTTCAAAATACTCAAGATTGAAGTTACAAAAGGGCCTTTTTGTATATTTCAATAAAAAACCTTGGTCCACAAAGAGGAGTGCCCTATATAAAAGGAATACCCGTGTGTCACCCATTTGGGTTGACCCAAACACTTCCAAAGCTTCTACAGTAGCACCTTATAAATGACAAAAGAGTTCTTTTCAGAGAAGAATCTCGACTCATTATTTGGGATAGGAAAGCAGCTGGGATAGGAGGGAGAAAGGGCACATGGAAAGTATGGCCACGTTCCCAATATGGCTGAGATCCATGCTGGACTTGGAGAGGAAGAGAAAGACCAAAGGCCAATGTGGTAGAAAGCTCTGAAACTATGGGGCCCATGGCATTTACTTTCACGGCACTCACAGGGTGGCTTGGGTGTGTGGCCCCAGCACAGCTCATGATTGCATAAGGTCCAGAGTCCTGCAGAGAGCTCAAGGCCATTCTTGGTCGCCAGGAACTGCACCCAGTTCAGTGGGGACGTGCAGATCATCATCAGGAAGCTGGAGCCACAGAGGCTGCCACAGAACATTCGGATGTAGGTGTGTGTCTGATCCATATACTGCCGCTGTCTCTCGGTTGGCATCAAGGCAGTCTGCTCTTTGTTGGTGGGGAGGGTAGGCTAGAAGGATGAGAGAAATATTGCCTACCCCTCAAAGACAACCTCTGGTCCCCAAGGTCTCCTGTTCTTCTCTAACTCAAATATCCCTGTGTGGGTTTGATTTGTGGATATATTTCCCTACCCCTTCTATAAAAAACAATGTTCAGGGCATCCTTTTCTCTCTGTCTTTAAGACACTGTCTACCTTGCAAACTCCTCTAACCTACAGTTAGGTGACTCCTTACCTGTTGGTATTTCCGGTTCCCCTGTATTTTGGGAACCTTGGGAGTATAGAAGATCAAACTTTGTTCTTTCCTCTCCATCTTGGCAGCCAGTTTACTTTCTAACTGTCACGGAATTTGTCCCAGCACCTCATCCCACAAGCTGGCAGAACCAAAAGGAGCCAGGACCCAACCCATGGCACACATTCCATTTCTCTTTCATATTCTTGGTGTGGTCAGATGTGGAGGAATCTACCATATTGTAAGCACGTGCTCCCCCAACCTCCTCCTCCAACTCCACCAACTCCTTTAGTAAAGAAAGCTAGTTGTCAACAGTGGCCGTGTGTCAGGCTTCATGTTAGAGCTTTGGACACAGTTCCCTCAGAGTGGATAAGACAGTGGAACTTAGATTTCTCCAGGACTCAATGGCTTGTGGTTATAAGTCACGGCTACAAATACGTCAGTAGCCTAGAGTTCACATGCTCGCCCCAACTCTAGGGGGAGTCTCCAAACGCTATGACCCAGTCTGTGGGTCACAGTCCTTGCTTCAGCAGTGCATCCTTTCTCCCTTTCTTGCTCTGGTTCCGTCTTCTCTTCTACCTATTTCAGGGTGCTCCACCACGGCCTCTGCCACTGCTGATGGGGACCACCATACCAATGCCAGTAAGCCATAGGCCTGACATAGCACAAACTGGTGTGCTAAAAGCTACCACTCCTCAAGGTACTGCCCCTGTGCTGAGTTCTACATGGAAGGAAGGACCGGGGCCTCTCCCTGGTTCCACACCAGCACAGCTTGTGCCCTAACTCTCTCAAAGTTTCCTTGTCCAACAACTCTCTCCACATGTGATCCTAACCCTCTCTCCTCAAGGCTCAAGATCAAGATGCAGTACAGGGTAAAAGGAGACTGTGATGGAGGGGGGATATGATCTCAGTACATTATTATATGCACATATGAAAATAGAATACTGAAACCCGTTAAAAATTAAAAAAAAAAAAAACAGCCAGGCACTGTAGCTCACACCTGTAATCCTAGTTACTTGGGAGACTGAGATCAGGAAGATCATAGCTTGAGGCCAGCCCAGGGAAATAGTTCTCGAGACCATATCTCCAAAATAACCAGAGCAAAATGGACTGGAGGTGTGGCTCAAGTGGTAGAGCCCATGCTTTGCAAGCACAAAGTCCTGACTTCAAACCCCAGTCCTACGCACCCCAAAAAAAACTTTGTAAAAAAAAAAAAAAGCAGTTCAGATGCTATGCTGTTTCAGCATGGGCATTGCTTCAAATCTCTGCCATAGCACCAGTTCCTGCTTTCCACAAAGATAAAATTTAGTTCCTAAATTTGGCCTCACTTTTCTTCTAGCTATGTACCCTCCTCCCAAACCCACCCCCCGCCGACCTGCTGAAAGCCAGTGGACATATAGTATCAGTGCCAGTATATATGTCCCCTTCTTCCAAAGAGTGCCTCCCAGTCTCAGCTCCATGCCTGGTAGCAGTTTAATGATGACTTGGGTGAGCGAGCAGTGGGTTTTCATACAGAGCCGGAACGGTTGGCATTGTCAGAGGAAAGTCAGAGAAGGGACACTGGAATTGGTATCTCAGCTAGAGTTTAAAGGGACTTCTCAGATAATCAAGGCAGAACACATTTGAGGCAAAGAGAATAGTAGGTCCCAACAAGGGAAGTCAGGAAGAGATGACGCTCCTGGGACACTAGAGGCAGTGTGCTTCAATAAATGGAAAAGGTTGAAACTTGCAGCTCTAGGTAAGGGCTGGATCACAGAGCCTTTTAAACCATGCCGTGCACCTACAGTTAGGAGAAGCAGTTATGGTAATACACCAGCCCTGCTGCGAGGAAGATGCTTCCAGGTGTGGCCAGCTGGCTTGTGCAGCATAACCATTTATTTTATTTATTTATTTTTGCGGTACTGGGGCTTGAACTCAAGGCCTACAACTTGAGCCCCTCCACCAGCCCTTTCTTGAGATGGGTTTTTTTTGAGATAGGGTCTCACAAACTATTTGCCCACACTGGCTTCGAACTGCGATCCTCCTGTTCTCTTCCTCCTGGGTAGCTAGGATTACAGGCAGAAAAAAGAAGAAGAACCATTAAAGAAACACGTGCGGCTAAAGGGCTAGATGTAGGGTTTGAACAGACAGACCTGCGTGTCGGTCTTGGTTCCCATGCTTACTTACTTCCAATACTTAAAGACTGGGTTCCTTTGGGAAACTCCCTTGACCTCACTGAGGTCACCAATCTTTAAAGCCAGGATATTAGCAATTCCTGACTCATAGACTAACAACAGCAATAACAGTTGCTATTATTTGTGTGTGTGGCTGAGGATTGAACCCAGAGCCTCGTGCATGCTAGGCAAGCGCTCTACCGCAGCCCCATATTCTTCTTCTTAATTTTTTTTGACATGGAATCTTCCTATATTGACCAGGCTGGTCTCCAACTCACGAGTTTAAGTGATCCTCCCACCTCAGCCTCCCAAGTAGCTGGGACTACAGGCAAGTACCACTGCACCTGGCATTTCATAGGATTATAAAGATTAAATGAGCTAATATATACAAAGCTCTCAGCCTTAATAAAACTCAAAAAAATAGTACCTTGTATTGATTCTGTTACCCCTAATAAATCTGTTAACGCTACCCATTATCATTTTTCAAAATGTCTTTTCAAGCTTGCATGCATGTGACCTCGGCATAGGACCCCTGAGCGCAGTGAACCATTAAGGGTGGGAAGAATGTATCACCCCTCATTTCTTACTCCTGCCACTAAACAAACTCGTGATGTACTGAGCACATCAGGTCATTTGGGGACAGTGTCTCGTTCAGTAAATAATGGAACTCCCTAGCCATCAAAGGAACAGATTGGCACCATTCAATTGTCAGACCTCCTTCAAGGACTACTTCAGGCCTCCCAAAGGGTGAGATGTTTCGGGGGCCTGTGATGCATGTGACAGAACCAGCATGTGTTTGTGTCTGGTGGCTGAGTATATTGTCACTCACTATGTATTTGAAGCATTGTCATTGTTGGAAAAGCAATTTGGTTAGAAGAAAACATGGAGTAACACTTTGTGACTTTGAAATGAGCTGAGTTTTTTTTTAAAACAGTTCAAAAAGACATACGCCATAAAGAAAAGGTTTTATAAATTGGATTATATTTAAATTAAGAGCTTCTGTTCACCAGATGATAATGCTAAGAGAGCCAACGAGCTATCCACAGAGTAGGGGAAATATTTAGAATGCATGTATCTATAAAGGACTCATGGCTAGGCAGGGACTCTTAACTGCTTGAGCCACTCCTCCAGTCCTTTTTGTGAGTTGGGTATTTTTGAGATAGGGTCTCGTGGACTATTTGCCTGGGCTGGCTATGAACCACGATCCTTCTGATCTCTGCCTCCTGAGTAGCTAGGATTACAGGTATGAGCCACCAGCATCCAGCTGAAATATACTTTTAAGATCTGTGGCTGTAATTCAATGGAGTGATTTTTCTCCTAGATGACATCTACTTTATCATTTTTTTTTTCTGCTCAAAAATGACCACATGTTTCAACAACACTGAGCGTCTTTCCCAGCTATAAAAATTTCTTAAAATCAATAGAAAGAGAGACAGCATAAGAGAAAAATGAGCGAAGATCTTAACTGATGCCTTCCAAACAGATCAAAATGTCCCTGGGTAGCCTTACTGTCCCTTCTCAAAAATCTGGTTGCAAACCATTAGAATTGTTAGTGAGTTGGGCACCAGTGGCTCACACCTGTAATCCTAGCTACTCAGGAAACAGAGATCAGGAGGGTCGAGGTTCAAAGTCAGCCCAGGGCAAATAGTTTGTGAGACCCTACTTCAAAAAAACCCATCACAAAAAAAGGGCTTGTGGACTGGCTCAAGGTGGAGGCCCTCGTTCAAGACCCAGTACCACCAAAAAAAAAAAAAATGTTAGTGAAAGGCCTTGGATGCTTTTTCTGGAAACCAACATCAGGAATTGATGTCCAGGCCTTAGCCAATTTCAGTGACATTTTCTTGGGGCTAGCAAATTGGGGACTTGGGTCATAAAGGCAGAAGTTAAGTTGTTCTGGAAAACGAAGTCATGTTTCCAGTGTAGCTGAGTTGGTAAACTGAGAATCATACTTTCTACACACAACATTGTGGCGTTTGGAACTTTAAAAATAAATATGTATTTATACATACAGGATCGTAATGAAATGACAATTATTGCCTCTCCACATGTCCCCTTCTAAGTGAATCTGTTCTCACTAGCCCCTGCTTGAGGATGGAGCTGTGACCGGCTGAGATTACAGGACCCTGCCATCCCTGACCTCTAGTGTTCCTACATTTGCATCAAGAATGACCTCTCTTCTTAGCAAGATCCATCATATTCTCTCTGTCAGAACACTGACCTTAGCTGTCTCTTATCGCAAAGCTCAGGAAAACAGCTACCCACTGTTGATCTACTTGGGGTGTCTTCCTTACAACTAACAGATCTCAGACAAGAGTGTTAAATGCTTGGAGCTGGAGGTGTAGCTCAGTGGTAGAATGCTTGCCCAGCATGTGTGAGATTTGGGTTCAATTCCCAGCACCACACACACACACACAGAATATCAAGTGTTTAACTTTTGCATCTAGGACACAAATAATCTTATGTGGGCTTGAACTCAGGACCTTCACCTTGAGCCATTCCACCAGCTCTGTTTTTGTGATGGGTTTTTCCATATAGAGTCTTGAGGACTATTTGCCTGGGCTGGCTTCAAACCTCGATCCTCCTGATCTCTGCCTCCTGAGTAGCTAGGATTACAAGAGTGAGAGTCTACAAAGAATCTTTTTTCATTTCTGGATCATCCTACAGCCACATCATCATTCATAGTAGTGGGAAGTTTTGGTTTCTTAGACCTTTGTCACCATGTTTAGAGCTATATTTACTTTGTAGTTGCTTGTATATTCACTTGTTTGCTCAACAGCCCTTCATTCTTCCACTGGCCTCTTGACACTGTCTGGATAATATGGACTCAAGGAAGCTTGATGATTTTAACATTTCTCTAAATCAACTTTCTTTAAGAGGATACATCAACAACCATCCCCAAGGGACAGCAGTAAGAGCCAAATGCAGTGA